ACTCAGCCCCATGGCTCCACAGAGTCGCCTGAGCCAATGTTGCAGAAGAGAAGGGATGTTTTTCTCCCTGGTGCAGGCATCCTGAGAGATTCTCCCATAAATCTCCCTGCTTTGTTGTTCCTTTCCCCCCTCCCCAGCTGTTTCCATTCATCCTAACCTGATAATTTCATCTTCATGTATAGCATTAGAAAGATGGAAGGGAAAGGGGAGGGGGAGGGAAGGGCAAGAGGAGGGGAGGGAAAAAATAAAGCCTTGGTGAGAAAGAGGAAAGAAAAATCTGGAGGCAAGAATGCTGAGTTGGCTTCTTTCCCTACACTCCCCTGGCCCTGTCTTTCTCTCCCCTCCTCCACCCTCCAGAGTTGCTTTCAGAATAATAATTGGAAAGTCAGCAAGCATCAAGAGGCTTCAGTTGATATGTCAGACTCAAGGACATCTTTCTCATGAGCTGACTTGCAGATGAACCTTATTTTTTTAACAAACCTCAAAACATAAGACTGGATTTTCCATTTCAGAAAAGAACAGGTACAGGTGCCTAACCGTCATTGGTTTCTTTCTTTGCATTCAGTTCAGTTGCTGATGGTGGTTCAAGTCCTGCTGTAGGTCCTATCTGGCTGCTTTAGGAAAAAGAAAAAGGAAAAACAAAGAAACCTAGGGAGACAGAAAGCAACAGATGAAGGCATTAACCCAAGGGTAGGTAACTGGCTCTCCAGATGTTTTATCAGCTTAGAATTCCAAGCAGCTCTTGACAGCATATCCAGGCTGAAGAATTATGGAAGTGGAAATTCAAAAACATCTATAGGGTCATAGCTGCCCAACTCTGTCTTATACGAAACTGTCATGTTTGTGTTTGCATGCCTTCAAGTGGCCTGTTGTTACCTCATGAATAGCCCTCCTTCACCCCAGTCGATCTTTGATATCAAGTTAATATTAAAAGGGATGTTTGGTCACGTAGCCACCCAAGCTGCCCCAATGTGAGGACAATAGCCCTCCCAAATAAGGAGACTTGGCTTGGAAGCGCTAGCGCACAGAGATACGATATGTCCTTTGAGACTGGAATCTGCTTAATCCCTTCACACAGGAGTGTGATGGTGGGCAATACATGGGATATTTGCCAACAGATTGGGAATCAAAGGGCTTTTCCCTCTGGAGGTTACACCTCTTTGTTTGAGATATCCGAATGGATTGCCATGCCCTTTAAACAAACCTCTGGCCATTCTTCCTCCTGGAAAAAAATACCCTCCAACTCCTAAGAAATTGTCTAAGAATACATTTCCTTCTATAAATATGCCCAGTTGGGGCAGCCCCTATTCGGTCTCAGTTGAGTATAGACAGCCACCCTGTCTGTTTCTTCCTTGACTCCTCGAAACACATAGCCCCAGCCAGGTCCAGTCTGCGTGCTGAGCCAGACTCATCCCAATTGGAGCTCCATGCCTGAATCTGATAAAGTATTCCCCTCTGCTAAACCTTCTGAAATTGCTATCAGCTACCACCCTTTATATTGTTAGTGTTTGTATGCATGTGTGAGTGAGTGTCTTGTTGCAAGTTGATTTCCCATTGATGTTATGAAGAAAACTAAACTAATTTGGAATCTGCTGTCTGGAGTTCTTTGGTTTGGGACCATTATAGATACGCTAGAATCCCCGTTTTTTTATAGTTGCCTGAAGCCCTCTTGCTCCTTCTTATGCCCTCTCACGGCTTCTAATGAAATTAGACTACAGAGACCAATTACTGCAGGAGTGAAGAAGCTGGGTCCCTCCAGAAGTACCAGCCCTTTTCTTCAAGAATGAGCCATGCTTGGAGATGATGGGAGTTACAGTCTGGCAACTGGAGAGCCATAGTTTCTCTAATCTTGCACTGTTGCATGGGTGGGCAACCTAAGTTCTTGGGCTGCAATCTCCAGTATTCCTGATGTTCTTGTACTACAAACCCCAGCATTCCTCATCAATGGCTAGGGATATCTGGAGTATCAGGAAGGTCTCAATAGTGTGGACTTTTAAATCAGAAATCAATTTATGAAGTTCATTGCCACAAATGTGAGAGCTGCTAGCCATCACACACCCCCTAGAATGTATGATATTGACATGAGATGAGAAATAATGGCACAATATTAAAATATCCTCAAGGACAAGATATAGTGGTGAAGGACAGGGATGAGGTCTCCATGTTTAGTAGCAGGATAGTTCTTAGATTCTTACAACAGTAGATATTTTTACAGCAAACTAACTGAGGTAACTTTCTTTGTCCTTTAGATTATGACCAAACTATGCTGGAATTCTGGCTTCCATAGCATTCCCCCCTCCCCAGACAAACAGTGATAGAAAAATATACAGCTTTTAATAAGCAATGACTAAGGCATCCATTCATCTCCAGGTTTCTCACAACACTTGAAAAGCAGAGAAATGAGTCCAAAACGAAATGTTAATTACATTAGCAAACAGGTGGTCCTGGTAACACATTTATTTTGGAGAATGAAAACATGGTCAATATGGCAGAAGAGTCTAGAATAGTTTTTTTCCCCTTTCCTTTCCTTTTCTTTGAAATAAGCCAGCAAGGTCATTATGTGCAATCATGCAGCTGAATCCTTGTGTGCCTGCCTCTTATTTGAATGCTTACATAAGAGAGCGCTCAGTGTATGTATTAAAGGCAAAGGGGGATTAGAGTTGCAAAATTATGCTATGAAATGGATCTTGGGAGAGAATTACATTCTAACAGGGCAGGCTTATTTTTCCAAAATTATGTGCAGACTAGCTGAACCCTGCATTACTTGAATTGGAATGGTCGCTTATTAGTCTTGGATCGAGGTAGCCAAGTTCATCCCCCAAGACTGAGGATGTTATCACACAGGGCAAATCTGCTGGTTAATCCACACAAATCCCAAACAGAAACTGGATTTGTGCCCCGTGTTTTCACATGACGTTGCACAGAAACTGGACAGAAAGTGGACAGAAACTGGTGTTATCCGAGATCTTTTGAAATTCGGTTGTTTGGAAGAAATGCAAATGCGAAATTAAGGTAATTTTGCATTTACCGTAATGTGAATTACGTGTGAAAGCCATTTGCAGAATCAAGGTTTATTTTCGGAATGCCTCATTTCCACTTTATTATCGCTTTCTGGCCCATGTGTGATAACGTCCTGATTTTTGTGCCCTGGCCTCCTGACTTCCATTCATTAATCCAAGTATAAAATTTCCAAGAAAAAAAGAATGAATTGCCCCTGCTGGAAACCTTCAGGAGTGGTGATTCGCTTTTTATGTGGGTCTCAAGGCCCCAATGCACCATTTAACAGCCCCCAAACCATTTTTCAAAACCAGAAGTGGACATCTGGGTACTTTCAGTTTCTTTCCCTCCTGCTTTGGGTCATCTTTGGCAGTCTATGCAGCCCCAGAAGGTCTGGGGCAGGGGTAGGCAATCTTTCCCCTTTAAGGG